AAATCGAATTTTGGAAACTTCTTACTAGATGTAACACCTTAAAACTTTTGAGGAAATAGATCACAAAAAAAAAATTTTTTGCTCAAAAACTTAACGAAATTTTATCGATTCTCAATTCATAAAATACTCATATTTTTATAGAATTTAATTCACATTTTACTATTTCTAGATAGTGAATTTTCCATATAAAAGTTATATTTTTATAATAAACTATAATTAAGATAGTGGTAAATACTACTTTTCAATGAGCAAAAACAAGCAAAACAATGTTGGACTCATGAAAAATTCTAGCCCAAGCCAAAAGGAATTCAATTACTAATGTAATTAAATCTAACTAAATTTTAACTGGATGATAATCTTTAAGTGATAATATTCAAATAAAAGAAGTTTAAATTTTATACTTTGTATTGGCTTTTAAGCAAGAAACTTGGGCTAAGCATTGAAAACAAAGTTCATAATGCGACTATAAAATCGATATGGATCTATGAAATTCAGTTATGGGATACAGCTTGAGCGACCAGTCTAGATTTAATACAAATACTCCAGTCGAAAGCATTGAGAATAACAATCGCACCATGATACATGCCTAATGAAAATATTCATAGAAATCTAAATCACAAGCAAAGGCGACATTTAAATCGTTTGACAAAAATATATAACAAAATTGCACAATCATCCGAAACCCTTGGCCATCCCCTTGGCCTCCGCAACAAGTCAAACGTGCCTTAGGAGAAGGGACTTGCCACCCTTGTAAAGAGCAACACCCAGCCAATGGGCTTTATATTTTAATTTAATTTTTCAGAATTGATAACTTATTTTGAGGCTTTTGACATTGAATCAAATAATAGTAAATAAATACAAATGTTAAAAAAAAAATCCAATGGATTTCCTTTGAAATCTCTTTGATAGAGAAATAAAATATTATAAATATTAGGCTTAAAGCACAAAAAAACTATATATGGGCAGTTCCATTAATTCTCCTTGAAAGTGTACACACTTAAGCCAGCGATTTCAGATGTTTCTTTCTTCCACGAGAGAGCACATGAAACAGTTCTCTCCGCCCAGAGCCGTAAGACCGCAGTAAAGTCGATACGGCTATAACTGCGCTATATGCAATTGGCAAAAGTCTATGTCTGAATACTGCCTACTGGTTACATATTGTAGTACTTAGACAAGTCGTGTTAAACAACCTCACGATATAATGGACGAGGCTTGAAGAAACTACTTTCAGAACCAAACTAACGAGAGTTTTGCGGACTGCAGCAGTTAGACTGAAGGGACACAGCTAAATATTATCTTTCGTACAGTTTCTGGCAGAGCTGAAAAGAGTTATTTCTACATAAAAATTCCAGAGATGAATGGAAAGGGTAACACAAAAGCTTAAGCCATCTTTAAAGAACACTGAAAAATCGATGAAAAAGTTAATGGTAGATTCTACTCGTCGAAAAACTCAATTAACTTGAGCATGAAACTATCAGACCCACCTTCCAAGCAGATTTTATTTCAATCAAAAGTTATAAAACAATCAATTAAAGTAAACATTTGGTAACCGAATGAGATGTCTTTCTACGCAACCATGCAAGGTTGGACGCAAATGGAACAAATCACTTAATCCATATATAACGGTTCTCCATCAGTATAAGAACAGGTTTAATAACAGGATGCTATTTAATTTTTGTCGCAGTTGTAGGATCGACGAAGACGAAGAAGAGTCTGCTTAGCCTTAATAACCACAAAACTCCTTAGGAAAGACTATTTTGACTATCTCTCTGAGCTAGCTTAAGCTTAAGTTAGTTATCTCGTAATTTTTATAAGGCATACTGAAGGATTCGCGCATTTGAAAAGCCAGTGGGAAATTGCTTCGGAGGCGGTTTTATTTAGAAATATTAAAAAAATATAATTAATTCATCACAGTAAAATGTTAAGAGAATTCGCAGAGAAGAAAGAGAACCAAATATTTAATACTTCAAACTTCAACTTCTTCTTTACTGGTTGGAGTTAATAATTTAACTTAATTTCTTTTTTCGTTGTTTGACGCCCATTGGAAATACCATGCGTACACAGGTCCTTCTCTACCTGATTTTTCGAACGAAGTGTAGGTCTTTCTCATCCTCTGCTTCCGCTGCTTTCAAGGCTGGAGTGTTTTCATCTACGCGGCCCACATGTCGTAGCCAGCACAGCCGCTGTCGGTTGATTCGCTGAACTATTTCAATGATGCCGTATATTTCCCACAGCTCATCGTCAGATCAACTGCGTTGTTCACCGCACCAATACACTAAAGATCATAAATAAAACTTTTCTCTTCAAGTCTTCTCCTAAAATCCACTTTTTCGATTTCGGCATAGTCCAAGGTTCTACAACATTTTAATTTACATCGGGACGGGCGTGAGGTGTGACTTCTAAAATGTACTCAAAAACTGGTTTCAATTGTATTATTTTATGCAAGTCTAAAATGCACCGGTGTAAAATTAAGTTTAAATATTTTTTACTTAATTTTAATTTTGTTTTTGTTTGAAGAAATTATTTTTAATGATTTAAAAAGTGAAATGTTTTGAAAAACCAATGTAATAATGAAAAAATTTAATAATTTACTGAAAATGTTTCCGTTTCGCCCGGAATTTCTTTAAAAAATCAAAATTTATTATTTATTAAAATTTCTAAAAAAAAACACACAAAAATTTATGTCAATGAAAAATCCAATCAACAAAACATTTTTTAAATGCTTTTACTATTTTTTATATTGACTAAGGTCTCGCGGGGAAATGGAGTCTTGTGGGATGATGTGTTATTGTCCTGATTATTCTAACAAATTGCTTTCGATTAATTCAGAAAGTCTTGCGATTGTAGAACATAAAAAACCTTACCTTATGTACTTGGAAATAGTTTTTTCGGCTCAGTAAGAGCACGTGATTCTGAGGAGTTCTCACTTGTGAAAGCCTTAATTCCGTCATAATGGCATAAGCGGTGTCTATGCAAGTAAAGAAGAAGAAGAATAGCATAAAAGAAAATGCTAGACTTTCGGAACTAGTCTTCCGGCGTCACATTTCATACTCAAATCTTCGTTTAAACAGTACGAAAAGAATCGTGAGACACAGAAAATCCAACACTCAGCACTCACCAGCTCTTCCTTTGATTTTGTCAAAAATCGATAGGTGCAGTTGCTTGCAGTTATGCATACAGCGCTTGGAAAGTTTTTCCACATTTACCCCACACCGAGTTGTTGATGAATTATTCCAGAGAGCAGCGGCTGAAGTCGAGAAGGATTTCGGCTTTGAACATTCCTTGTGCTTGTCGATGGGCGTGCTTTGCTGTACTGAGGCAAGCGCATGATTTTTCTGCTACAAAGTAGTGGTTCGAATCGGTGTTAGATTCCCCGAAAGTAAGCATATCTGGCACAATGGAAAAACGTTATTTTAAAGTACAAAATAATCGATCTGGTTGAGAATTTTTCAATGCGGAGGCAGTCATTTAACTTAATCAAGTTTATTCTGCTGATATCTAGTTCAAGGCAAGGCAAGCATATTTTGGAGCTCGGCGCAGTCGAAGATATTGTGTGAGCTCAAACTTAAATGACGATTTTCAGTCGTAATTTTCTTTACTTTACCGTTGTTATCTTTAGCAAGGATTTTTTGTTTTAAAGTGTAAGCATTTTGATGCGAAAATAATTTCAATAGAAATAAAGTTAAATATATTCGCCACTTATGAACATGATAACTCTGGTAGAAGATTAAAATTCATGACATTTTCACACTCCACCCTCGCACAGAAAATATAAATATTTTATTTACACTCGCATACACACACTAACATACATACGTGTATGAATATGTAATTATTTGCACGTATATGCGCTTGGGTGGGTTTCCGCATGCGTGACTGCATTTCAAATGCGTTCGGCTTTCGTCAAAAATTCCATTAAAAATGTCATCAACTATAGTTTCGAGCTACATACGAACATACATATCACTGTATATATGTATATATAGACTTTTACATTGGTCTGCAGTGCATTTAACAAAGTAACAAAAATTTAAAACCGCAATAAAAATGCTTGCAACATCAATGTAATTGTGAGGAAAATAATTGCAATGGCAAGAGAAAAGTGATGAAGTTGTGTGAAACAAAAAGCAAGAAATAGCAAACGAAATAAGGCAATAAATAAAATGTTTCAAATTTGTTACAAAGTAGCTTAAGTAAGTGCGACGTAAAAAATTGGTTGCCGTTGCTGATTAATTAAGCAATTTAAATTGCTTCCCGAAGAACCTTACAAAAAAATAAAAATAAAAATAAATATAAATAATAATAAAGATATAAAATATTAATACACAAACGAATGTCCTTCAAATGGCTGTTTAACTGCTGTTGCACTTCAGCGTTGCAACTGGCATAGTGGCCTGTCAGCAAATTAACGAACGAATAACACGTCCGGCTGACTAACCAAATGAGTGGTAACCACAATTGAATGTTACTAGTGCATATACGGAACGGTCTGTTGTCCATCACAGGGTGTGGCAAGTGTAGTACGAAAAGTGAACAGCTAAATGTATTTGTATAAGTGAAATGATGTTGTTGAAGGTGATAACACGGTTGCTGATGTCGATTGCAAATACACAATACATGCTGAATCAAGTGGTTGAAATGTAATTAATGTGCAGTTGCGCCAAAAAGAAAAACGAAAAGTGGCAAAAAAGTAATTGGAAAGCGTAATTGGTTGTTGGTTGTTGCAACAGCAACTTGCAACATTGTGAAGAAAATTTTAATGGAATGAAAAGTGAGTATGCGGTCGTCGTCAACAACAATAACAAAATAAATACAATATTACAGCAGCAACAACAACAACAACAACAACAACAACAACAACAACAACAAATATACAACAACAAAAACGACCATCGTCACCAACATTAACAAAATAAGAACAATATTACAGCAGCAACAACAGTAACAAAAACAACATAAACAACAACAACAAAAACAAAAACAACGAAAATCAGTAACAATATATAAAACAACAATAAAAACAGTAGCAGCAGCAGAAATTGAAAAAATTAAAGTGGAAAAGGCGAAAATTGCACAATAAGTGCAAAACCGCAGCAACAACAAGTTATGCAATTGCAGCACTTGCAACAGCAATTAAGATCGACATTTGTAAAACAATGTGTTAATTGCAGGCATTTCGTCGGCCAACGTTTACATTGACATCAGCAACAACCACAAACGATAAATAACAACAAATGCAATTCGAAACCACAATTCGAGCGCCCACGTAGGGCCCCAGATGTGTTCGTGCAACACAAGAAACTGCTTAAAGCTCATTGTGAAGTGAAAAAAAAGTGCGACAACAAGAACAAAGCAATTTTTTGAGCTTGAAAAAAGTTCGATGCAATGCAAATTGTAATTTCACCAATTCACTACTCCTTTGTAATGGCTTAACTTATGCTTGCCACATGATGTTATTAAGGAAAAATAGCTTTTGCAACAGCAAATGTGGCATTGAGTTTTCAAGCCGAGAATAATTGCAAAATACGGACTTTTGCTGCTGCTAGTAAGGACCTGCTTGCCACAAAATATCACCAAAGAGTGACAACAACAGTAAAAGTTGAAGTTTACGCCCAACAATATTTATGCACAAAGCAATCAACAAGGCGCTGCCATAGGCTTAACAACTGAGCTTTCAACACAAGTATAACTACCGATATATTAAAAACACACAGCAACAATACCAACAATCACAGCATCCATGAATGGTGGTTTCCGCATAACTGGCTATCCAGCTGCTGCCGCTGCCGCCGTCGTAACAACCACTGCCAACAGCACGGGCGCAGCATCAACTAGCAGCACAATATTGGCAGCTGGCAGCACGTCGACCAACGGCAGTGTGATGCATAATGCCACCAATGCCACCACTATCGTTAGCACGGGAAACACGAATAAAATTAGTAACGATGTTGCTAGTTATCATGCCAATGTCGGCGGTGGCAGCAATAATGCCGCTTTTACGAAACATTATAATCTATCGCGCGCACCAAGTGGCGCAACTACAACGCAGCCACAGCAGCAACAGTTGCAGTTGAAACAACTGCAGTTGCAACGTGAACAACGCGAACGCGCGCTGGACTTGCACATTAGCGAATACCAACCGCCGACACCGACACAATTCACCACCGTAGCACCACCGCTTTGTGGCACCACAGCCGCACCGATTGCATTGAAAGGCAATAATCCCTTTTTGAACAGTCCCTCGCCTACGGATATTCCGCCGTCATCGGCAGCAATGGCTTTTAGCTATGTGCCGACAACACCCATAACAACAACATCAACATCTATATCGGCAGCATGTGGGAGCGCAAGCAATCTTGCAGGCACTTCATCAACCAGCATTGGTGGCTACGAGATGCCCGAATATGCAGAACCGCAACGATTTCGCGCGCACAAACAAGTGCGACCGCACAGCATTGCAGTGGCGTCTATGAGCGCCAGCATGGGAGTGGTGAGCAGCGCGGGGCATGTAACCACAACACCCACATCGTCCGCAACGAGCTACAGTGGCAGCGCTAACGATTTGGCTTACAGCACACTGAGGCGCGCACCAAAGGCGCTGCCAAACAGTTTCGTGGACTACGCCTCGCGTCATCAGCTGCAGCAGGAAGAGCAATTACGACAACAACAGCAGCGTTTGCTGCAGCTTACGCGTCAGCAGCAACAATTACGTAACGCCGGCATCGTAGGAGGAGGCAGCAATTCTGGCACGCCAGTTTCCGCTTGCAATGCGCCTTCCTCAGCCGGCACGCCCACACCCGCAGCTAGCGTGGACAAGGAGGCTTTGTACGCTGCGCTTTTTCAGCAATATCGTAATAGTCCAACGCACGCGCCAAACGCAACACTGCCACACAAGTTGCGCAGCAATGCAACACCAGCGTCACACAGTGCAAATAACGTGGTGTCCAGTAGCGTGGCCACAACTACCAACTATTGCCCACCTGTGCCATTGCATCGCAATCAAAATATGGGCAACGCTGGCGGACAACTACATCAACAACAGCCACAGACGAACGCTTTGTTGCAGCAACCTGTCGTACCGCGTCGCTCACATAGCACACCCCGCCCTCTAAAGAGTCTCAACGATCCGCAGCAGCAACCACAGTCTCCCCAACAACCGCTCTCACCTGCGGTTAATGGAACACAGCTGAATGGTGGCTCTACGCCACGACCCCGTAGCTTGGATCGTTTTAACAATGACTCTAAACCATCCGGCCTTTATCAGCCGCCCCCGATTCCGCTGCGTCGGTTTCCACCAGTCGTGACGAATGCACGTCAAACACAAGGCAGTCCACAACCGGAACCAAGTGGTGGTACACCCAAGTTTAGCGGCAAGAAAAGCACTAGTATCGACAATATACGCAATGGCTTGTCCGCCAGCATTGCCAGCGATGGGAACTCATTTGTTAGTACTGCCACCATGGGTGGTATGCGTCATTCGGTCACCTTTCATGGTCGCAGCCAGTCGGGTCAGATCAATGCGGAGCATGGCTTCAACGGCGAGAATGCAGCGGTGAGCTCTGCAAACAACACCTTCGGCGGCGGCAATGTCACTAACTCAGCGACCTGGCAAAAGGGTGAGCGTCCACTTTCTTACGCTTATGGCGCCAGCGCACCGGACCAGGTGTACCTAGAGAATCAGCTACGCGCATATTCCGATCAGTTGCGCACCATAACGGAAAGTGTGCGCAAATATTCGGAGCAAGCCAAGTTATTATCGGAGCTTAAGCGTCAGCAACAACTAGCCAAAGCACAACACTTGCAGCCAAACAGTGGCAGCACTAATTCGCCGACATTGGGTGGCCCGTCGCAAAGCCTTCATGTGCCCAGTTCGCAGTGTAGCAGTAACTTTTCTTCCAATATGATTTCGCCGGAGATTGTAAGTAAGTCACTTGCTTCGCTTTGCTCTTCAACAGAGGCACAAACACCTTCGCATCAACTGCGCCTCTTTCTGGATAACATACGCAGCACTATGCGCACAGAGTATCATCAAAATATACCCGAAGATATGCTTAAACCCATAACTGAGTTAAAGTCGCCAACAGCTCTGCAACAACAGCAGCAGCAGCAACAACAACAACAACAACAGCAACAACAACAACAACAGTCACAGATACCGCAGACACAAGCCACCGCGCAACCTGCAAACTTTATGGCTTACAAACGACCAAATCTCGACGAACCCCTACGCAGCTCACCAGTGCAACCAAGTCATTCAACTACTGCCTCAAACGCCGCTAACAACAAAACACGTGACAGCGAATTGCCTACACCATCCGATCAACTGCGTCTCTTTCTCGATGCTATACGCTCGAATAAGATACCCGAAACCGATGATAAACCCAAGCTCGCCAATTCGCAGACACTCGACTCATTCATTTCCAAACCGCTACAAATGCCCGACGTCACTTCGGGCACACCTGGCGCCCAGCTAAGCGGCATGCCACCAACCCGACGACGTCCTAAAAGCGCAATCGCCACCACCAGCAAGCTGGAAAACGATGGCGCCGAGCACTCCATGATCACATCGGAAAGTTTTCATCAGATTTCCGACAATTTACGTCTAATGAGCGAAGATCTCAAAGCACTCAGCCCGAGCAAAGTGATGGCGAGCAGCTCGGCGAGTAGTGGCAATTTGAAAATTGCGTCATCGCTCTCACCTTCGCTAACCACCGAATTGCGCGTCATAACCAGTCATTCGCCACTCAGCATATCACCAACAAATCAACCCACTAGCACACACTATGCACCGCTGAGTCGTGCGAATGTCAATAGTTTCGGTGCCAACTCTACCAACGCCAATTCGTATGGCGTACAAACGAGTACGAATTCCCCATCGCCTTCACAATCGACACATTCGCAATCGACGAGCGCAACAACGACACCCTCAACAGCGCCTCTAATGACTGACTTCAATGCCATACTCGATAGTTTTCAAGAGATGGCTGACAAGTATAAATCCAAAGGTTCCTATGATTACTTACGCAAATGCTCAGATGCACTTCGTCAGCATTCACAGCAATTGAAATTGCGTGAGCAACAACAACAACAACAGCATCAGCAAATGACCAACGGTGGCGGCGGTGGTGGTGGCGGTGGCGGGTTCATGGGTAGTGATGACAGCAGTTCGTGTAGTACAACGCCGGGTAGTATACGAGAGGCTGTGCAAAATCTATTGATGCAACCCAGAAACGGTTTTCAGATACTCGACGACCGAATGCGACTCTTTATCGACATTATCGATAGTCAGGATCGACTAAGTCAGGTAAGTGACTGCAATAAAAAAGCCTGAAGTGAAGTGATTTTAAATCGTTTATTTTATTTTCAAAACTACCTTTAATAACAGTAAAGAATGTTATTCAGGGTCTAACTTAATTTTAATGTACAAGAGTTGAGATTGATGAAGAGAGTGCAGTCTTTTATAATAAAGCTCAAGATCTTGAAATCAAATAAGATAATTTTTAGATGAAAAATTTAAGAAAACAATAAATAGAGAGAGGGTTTTCCAATAAGAGGTTTTGTATTAGCCTGCCGTTTCGGACGATATGACAGTTGAAGCTGTAATTTTTTGACATTTCACAAGTAAAATCAACACCAGCAATAAAAATGCAACGATATACCTTACAACAAAGCATTCAAATGATTAAAATTCACTATGAAAATTCAAACGAAAAGTCATCTTGATTGATGAGACCTGTTTCCACATCGATGGCTCGGAAAAACTCTAAATTTATTGTTATGAAAAGTCCCTTCATCCTCAACATGTGACTATTTGGTGCGGTTTATGGTCCGACGATCCTTGGACCACAATTTTTCGAAAATGAGGTGGGAGCAACAGTTACGGTGAGTGGATTGCGATAACGGGATATGGTTAATGATTTTTTTATGTCCAGCATTCGATGGCATTGATCTGAACAAGGTTTGCTTTTAAAACAAACCAACCATTTTTTTTAGAGAAAATTTTCCGAATCTTGACATTCCTCGAAAAGATGATCGTAGTTGGCCACCGATATATTGTGATTTAACATCTTGCCACTTCATTCTTTGGGGCTACGTGAAATATGAAGTCTTTGATAACAGTCAAACGACGATTCAAAACCTCGAAGAAGAAATTTTTTGAGGCTATTGAGGGCATGCCGAAGCCACCTGACGATTTGGTGTTGCAAAATTTCATAAAAGTTTCTGCGCTCATCAAGGAATGGCGTTGGTTTATTTCAAAAAATGCCATTTTGCTTTCACTATCAAAATAACACCGCTTATTGGCAGACCCGTTTGTATTTACGTGCAATTATTTTCAAGGAGTTGTCTCTTACTTAATATTAGAAGAGAATTTAATGAAATTGGTAATAATTTTTTCGGCAGACAGAATATGTAAATACGAAAAGTATTTTCTTTAGGACTCTATAATATTTTTTTTTATATAATTAATAGTGCGAACGCCCTAATATCTCTCGCTTAATTAAATTCATTATTTCTGATGTATCATGGCAAACCTATTTGCACTAAATCTGAAATGTATCTCTCTTTATCTTTCTCTAACAACCGGCAGTGTTGTCTGTGTACCTTCTTCTTACACTCAAGTCAGTTCATTTCACTATTTGCTGGCATTGACATTTGATTAGCTAACACACATACATAAATATATACATACATATATGTTTATTTACATTTACATATTCAGCTTTCTAAACCGTTCGTCGTGCTTACATAATTACTGCGTTATGCCACTTAGTCTAATGAGATTTTGTTGTTTCATAACCTTACCCATCTACTAACAGCTTCCACGTGTACAAAGAGCCAGAGTAGGAGCCGAAAGTAGTGTGGATAAAGTATATATTTAATAAATGGGAAGCAGGTGTAGCTTGCATGTGTATGTGTTTATAGCATAACTTGAAAATGTAACATATGTTGTCACATTGTATATAAAATCCTCGCCTCAAATCCCATTACAATTATGTCACTTCCAAACCATTTGCCTTAGCGTAACAATTTCCACATCCATAAACTGCCAAAGGCTGTCGATGGGTATCGTTGATCTGACGCATATTTGTGTACAGTGATGTTGCCAGATATTCGAAACTGACTTTGCTCTGTACCTTTTATTCTACACTCAAACTTACTTACTTATCGTTAATTTTATGGCACTAAAATAAGGGCAGCGCACTGTTTGAATACTTTAAATGCTGTTTTGTATGAAAAACTACGAAAAATTAATTCCATTTAATAGAAAATATTTTAAATTTTTTTCGTTGCAGGTACGTACTTTGTTAAGAGCGCTTAAAAACGTAATTTTTTAACAGCAGAAGGTAAATTTAAGGTAACAATTTTTTATTAAATTTCGTATCGCGGTTCAGTAAGAATCCCTATTATCGTGCGACAAAAGATGTGGAAAATCACTAAACTTGTGAAACTTTAGATTAAACCTTCAAAGCTTTCATTGGCAAAGTTTAAGGAGTTTAAAAACTTCGAAATTGCTTAGGCATCAAATAAGAAGTCTATTTTCCTGGTTCGCCGTGTAAGCTCCATCTTCTTCGATCGACGTTTAAAGTCCTCCTTTAAAGAACGCTTGTTGTAACAGACCTGTTGAATAAGCCCTTAAAAAGGTTCCTAATGGTGTTAAGGGGCTCAACAACCAGCGCGCATGCAAAAAAGACGATTTTTTTTAAATTTTTTTTAAATTTTTTTTTTCAATGTTTTACGGAATCAAAGGTATTTTTGTCCATAAATAGGGTATACAAATATACAAATTTTTTTCCAAAGGGTAATCTTGAATTCTCGCTAAGCTATGCCGTATCCCGCAGTTGTTCGAGAAATTAAATTTAATTTTGCTGTTCTCCTAACTGCCGTTAGGATAACTGCAATGAAAAAAGACAAAAAAAAACCGATGATTATAAAGAACTATTAAGTGAACTACGATTGAGGTTAAAAAGAGATCGAAAAAGAAATGGCGTCGTCTTGAAAAAAAGTAAGAACTTAGAATAAAACCTGACCGTATTTTTCGTGTTAAATTATCAATTTCAATTCGATTAAAGGCTTCTTTATACCATAAATAAAGTTGTGCTAATGCGTCCGCGGAAGCTAAGGGGTTCGCATTACGTACTGCTCTTCGGAAGGCTCGGTTTAAAATCTTGGTACGACCAGCAACCAAAAATTTTAAAATGTTAAATTAAATAAAAAATAAAATAAAAAATTATGTTTAATTTTCTAATTGCGGGCGCCCTTCTGAAAATCAAGAGCCCCTCGTAACCAACCATCAGCTGTTCGGAGGCGGCTTAATATAAACTGCAGGTCCCTCCATTTGTTGGAAAAACAACAAAATGCAAAACCACAAATTAGAGGAGGAACTCGACCGAAAATCGCTTCAGCGGTTACAAAGTGCCAATATATATATATATATATGTGTATACATGATAAAAAAAAAATTTTCATGTCGATGAAATGATTAGTCTTTGACTAAGATCTTTGACTAACTCTGACAGCAAATTTCGAAAACGCAGTTTCGGGAAAAACTTTTTTGAAAAAAATCTTACATTTGTACTTATATGGATGCTCTCACGTGTTTTAGGAGCTTTTTCAAAGGTATTAACTATCGATGAATGTTAAAAAAAAAAATCGTTTTTTGAAAGTGTCACACTGGTTGAGCTCCTCAAATCACACGTTTTAGGCGGTCAATTTTGATCAAAAAAACGGGAGAGTACACGAACTAGAGATGACTATTGCAGTAATTTAAGTATTTCACGGGATTTATGACGTATGACACCGTCTTGTTGAAACCAAATATTGGCCAGATCAATGTCATCCAATTTCAGCAAAAAGAACTCTGTTATCATATTGTGATATCTCGCAGCAGTAACAGATACTACTTGACCACCACCAAGTTTGGTCTATTTATGCCTCCAGTTCAAAATTCATACCAAACATTAACACATTGGGGATGCATTTGTTTTTCGACAATCACATATGAGTTCTCAGTACCGCAAAAGCAAAGTGGAAACGTACTTCATCGCTGAACATGATTTTGCTCGAAGAATCAACAACTATTGGTTAATGTTCAATAATCCATGCAACACACTCTCCTCGATGTGCTCGATGATTAGACTTCAGTTTCAGAGGCGAAGCACAGAGAAAGCCCTTTATAAATGAGAGAGGACGAGAAAAACAACTGTCACTTAAACACGCTTTTATTTTGCTTTTATATACGTTTATGGGGATCAAGGTCTGGGACCAAAGAATTAGTATCACTTATGAAATCTCATCGCCTACTCAGTTTTCATCACTCTAAGGAGGAGTAAATTTTAGTAATAGCTACAATAAAGACAAATGGCTGGACAAATGTCAGATGACAAGAGCAAAACTCTTCATATTCATGCCGAAGATTACAAAATGAATGAAGAAGGGGACTTTAACTTATCGATAATACACTTTTATGAGGCTAGTCAAGCAACCATTATGGTCTTAATTACACATGGCTCAAAGTCGGCTGTGATGGGCACTATGTAAAGAAGCGATAAAAACATTGACAGAGAAAATGAGGGTTTACAATTTCTGAGGGCGAGCAAAGTGTAACAGAATAGCGTAAAACTATGTGCAAAACATATAATTGTAACTTTAAAAGGCCTTTATTTTAGCGAAAGGAGAGACTGGACTCCAGGCTGCTGGTAGCACTGTTAAAGGAGCATTGCTTTTAGGCGTCTCATGTAATTTAGACCTGATAGATGAAAACAAATGCATTAAATATTAAGAATATTATACACAACTTTAGAAATGGTAGACCATCTACAACTGCCTTGAAGAACAAAACATTGCCTCATTAGATGTTACGGTAGTGGTAGAGCCCGTCTCTTGAAAAGACAGGCAATTTCTCTTAATAAACTGTTTACCAATATGGATGATATAATTTTTTAAATGCCGTTTTGTATTGCTTACAATTTCAGCAAAAACTTGAAAACAATAAGACGACTTTTTAAGAAAAGCAATATCTTCGATGAGGTTCACTTTCATCTCAGTGGTGCGGTAAATAAAAATCCATTCGACTCTGGTGCGAAGAAAATTCACAAGTTATTCATGAATAACCATTATATACATATATATATATATAAGTAATTAGCGCTTTTCAACCGCTCGACCGAGCTCCTACTCCTATTTGTGGCTTTGCGGCTTGATGTGTTTTCCCACAGATAGAGGGATCTACAGTATATACTAAACCACCTACGAACGGCTGGTGATTTCTTTATGAGAAGCTTTTGATTTTCATGCTAGTAATTC